AAGACATAATGAGGGTGTTTTTATTATTGTTCATATAAAAAAAAAAGACAAAAAATATGTTATCACGGTTTGCAGGCAGACATGTAATAATATGAATGCACAAGTAATCATAAACATGTCAAATTAAAACAGCACGCAGTGTTGAACAGGCCCTCGCAGTTGCCGTGGCGTTACATTTCCCAGCTCAGGCGGGCGGTGCTATGACTCAAGCCTCCCATCTATGCCCGGATGGCCTCAGGTCCGGACTCTAATCATGCATATCAAGTTTGGAGCAGATCAGAACATTTTTGGTTGACACATATAAATCCTACAAAATGGTGTGTTCTGCCTTGACCTACTACCTCCTTGTTTGAGCTATTGATTACATCCCATTTGATACAGTATGTGGTTATTTACCGATCTGTCCGCCTGGAGGAGGAAAATATATTTGTTTCCAAAATGGCCGACTACCGGGTGGTCAGGACTAATGTAAGCCAATTTTTCAAAATGGGCCGACTTCCTGAGGGGCGGGGCTAAAGAAAATCAATGAGTAATACATCCGCAATGACATGAGCAATGTGCGTGTAAAAGGTTGTGCATATCGGAGAAACTCTATGTAACTACCACACATTAGGGGGCGCTACTGAGCTATTTTTACCACAAATGCAATTTTCATACATTCTTCAAAAGGTCATGGATTGTGACGTGTTTCTGTACAGTCACCCATTCTAAATTGAACAAACTCATTTAATGCATCATAAGCCACGCCCACATTGCTCAAACGGTATGACCTGTCAGAATACAGTAAATGCTCGACCTGAGAGTACGTTTATCAAATGTTGTAAAATTTGGTCCATCTGTTTTTGAGTAATACATGTCTAGTGTTTTTGGCGCCCCTATGGTCCAAGAGGAAAATGCTTTTGTATGCTTATTCTCCAAGACAGACTGAACATATCCACTAAAATGTGTGATAATTGTATAAATCGTTGATGAGTTATGAACATTTATTTCCAGGCAATGTGCAAAGACTTTTTGATTAACGGCGGCCATGTTTTCCAACTGACCTTGCACATTTTTCATGGAAACATGGAAACGCCGATGCTGTATACCAAATTTGGTGTTGATAGACTCAACATTCAAAATAAAGTACATTTTTTGTGTTTTTCACATTATGCTAATTAGCAAAACATCTAAGAAGGCAGAGCTTAGGGGTTCTTGAGGCTTTTTTCGTAGAGCAGGCCGAGCCGGATATGTGTGCAAAATTTCAGGTCAGGATTTAGGGTGAAATGTGATTTTCATTGGTGGCGCTAGAGAGCACGGGGGCAACTGTTAACCCATTCACTGCAGAATGTCGCGATTTTCGACAGACCATACGTCTGTGTCAAATTATTGACCATGTGAAGGGCCTCAAAAACGCTTTCTCACGTGAGAATAATAATAATAATAATAATAATCTCTTCAATAACGATAGGTTTCCTCTCACTCTGGTGCTCGGGCCCTAATTAAGCTGTTTGATTTCAGTCAGTGTGGACCTGAGAAACAAGTCCTGCTCTGCCCCCTGCAGCAAGAAAACAGATGTTACACCTGCCTCATAAACACTCCTCTTCTACAAAGTTGACAAGGAATCAAAGAGCCATGTTTATTGCTCCTGAGGTTTGATTGCAGCTCTATACTTTATACTAAGTTACCTGGCAACAGGCTCAAAGTCCAGAAAAGTATTAAATAGTGATACCATTTTTAATCATTAGTGAATTATTGAGGTCAAAGCTTTTCAGACATCTGGAAACAGGTACGTCAGCTTGTGAATTTCTTTTGTTACACGTGTTTTAACTTGTATTTTAGAAAAACAGACCAAAAAAATAGTTTGTAGAAGATACAAGATGTCTTTTAATAGCCTTTGTGTTGGTTCAAATGTTATAAATGTCATTCAGTTCTGATCTGGGAGCGGTGTCCTTGCACGCAAAACTGAAACGCTGACCTCAATGTACAGGGTATGACAAAGGAAATCCATCTATGTTTGACACCAAAACAGATTTAACAAACAGATACATAGAGAAATACTATTTATAATTATTATAAAGTCTAAGTCTAACCCGATGCAGTTTTAAAACATGCACTTCAGAATTGCACTACTGTGTTTGTTCTGATTTGTTTTGTCTTATTATTATTGTGTTGCATATTTAACATATCTACAACTGCATTTCAGACTGATGAATCACAAAGAGACCTTTATTTTTGAAGGAGCACCGACAAGGTTTTTACATGTTGACCCATCTCTTGACTTTGACCCATACTAGGTACTAAAATATAGGATGACAATTTAAATCATGTTTTTATACACTGTATGTACTGGTTTATTTTCAGAGCTGCAGGATGCTTCTCCAGGCTGACAGACTGTCCTCTCAGTTTCCACTCAGACCTCTCAGTGTTTTGGTTTTCCATCTGCTCCTCACACACTCCTGTAGAGGTAACACACACACCAATACAGTCATGAACTCACCATGGATTGAATGCATATACAAAATGATTTGTGCATTGATATATGTTATTAAATGTTAAGATTGCTATTGAGTAATTTTATTAAATGCAGGCGCCAACCCGAGGTCTGAAAAGTTAATAAAATATCCAGTAGAGGGCTGATCTGTTTTTAAAAAGAAGTCAGATTGTATCGAAGTGTATGAGAGGATGAGCATACTGCGACCTGATTTATTACCTCAGTGAATATTTTCCTGATGAGTTTGTGGTCTCAAGCTTTAGTTTGAAGTTTTCTTCTTGTGGTCCCACTCAAAGCAAATAGACGATTAAGCAAAATACGCTTTAGTAAAGCTCACCAATAGGGTCTTAACCTTTATCTCAACAGCTTTGACCAATGCTTTTTAAATGTTGAAATTAAACAAATCTTTATTAAAACCCATCCATTTCTCTCCAGGTCAGTCTCAGTTAATCGGTCCTCCTCAGCCTATAGTAGCAACACTTGGACATGACGTGATTTTGCCGTGTCACCTGGAGCCTGAGATGGATGTTACTGCAGACACGTTGGAGTGGACGAGATCCGACTTAAACCCAATATTTGTCAACGTGTTGCGTGCTGGTCAGGACCTCGAAAAGACCAGAAATCCTTCCTACAAAGGGAGAACCTCGCTGTTCAGAGATGAGCTGAAGCATGGGAACATTTCACTGAAACTCTCCGAAGTACAACTCTCTGATCTGGGAACGTATAAATGTGATATTCCTCTAAAGTATAAACAATCGTCTGTTAAGCTAGTTTTTGGTAAGTACCCTCACAGTTTGTGTTCATGGTGGAGTTTGGTGTATGCTTTGTCAAGGATGCAGTATTTATCTTTTAGAACCTTTAGAAAGACCTAACGGCAACCATTAGTGTTAGTCATGGTTACCATGGTTACCAACATTTCAGTATTTCAATATTTGTACGATGATTATTTGCAAAACTGAATTGATTTAGAAAGCTTATTGGCAAAATGAATGTCAGGTCCTTGATTTCTATGGTTTTAAACTACTCAGTACAGGGGTCATAAACCAGTTTCATTTCAAAATACATTTCAAATAAAGTATTTACAATTAAGTGGTTACCTAAGAGAGGCAACTGAAGATTTGGAAGCCGATTAATACAGAAAAACACTTAATTAATTAAACATCATATTGTAGAGGTACGAAAAGTCTTGATTCTTGGCAGAGAGCTTTTAAAAATGTGCAGAATTCAATCCAGTTAAAAAAGATGCATTTATGCAGGAATGGGCAATGTGAATTTTCTGTTAGTTATTAGCCTTGCACACATTTCAATTAGCAATTTTTTTTATTGTTAATTATTGTGCAAAGTGTCAGTATTTTGCAGACACTGCTGTTATAAACGTTTCTCTTGTGTTCAGCTTCAGTTCCTTCCTCTCCGCCTGTCATCAGTTTATCAGGGCTGGACGGTCAGAGCGGAGGAGTGGTGCTGCAGTGTGAGTCTGCAGGCTGGTATCCGGAGCCTGAGGTGTTGTGGCTGGACGCTGAGGGAAAGCTCCTCTCTGCTGGACCTCCAGAGACAGTCAGAGGTCCTGATGACCTCTATACTGTCAGCAGCAGAGTGACTGTGGAGAAGAGACCCAGCAGCAGCTTCACCTGCAGAGTCCAGCACCACAACACCACCTACACCACACAGACACACTTCCATGTTCCAGGTAGACTAAATATTACGATGATACACTTACTGCTTTGGTCTCTAATATCTGAGACCAAGTTTTACATAAATGCCGTGATGTCCTGTGTTTTATCATTTCAGATGATTTCTTTAAGCTCCAGTCCAGTTCTTCTTCCATCAATACTGGTCTGGCCGTCAGTTTGGCTGTTTGCATTCTGTTCATGCTGGCAGTTTCTTTCTTCTTTTTGTGGAGAGAACACATATTCAGTAAGTCACGAACAGTCTGGTGATTTGATTTGCTCTGTAAGTTTTGGTGCATGTAAATGGTCTGCAAAGGCTAAAATATCTCCCACAACCACCACCCCCCTGAAACGCCTCCATTGGACTCCTTTATTTTGAGCATGGTGACATCACTTTGTAACACTTGCGCTTCTATTGGCTAGCACCAACTGTTCAGCTAAATGTAGCCTGAAAAGTTTGATGTGCTTCGATCCCTTCCTAAAGTTCCTCTAATTCTCTTTCAACACATCTTAACACACGTTTCATTTCACACAGAGACAAAGAGAAAGAGTTCGGATGAAGTTGATAAAGGAGAAAAGAAGAACCGATCTAAAACTAAAGATCAGTTTCTCAATGAAGAGGAAAGAGGACAGCTGATGAAACCTGGCGCTGTGCATATGGAGGCTTTGAAGGGAAAAGTGGAAAATAAGAGCAAACTGGTAAGTAAAGAAACAACAACATGAAAAGTGAAGTCTTAGCAAGAAGCACAGAAGACTTTCACATCAAGAAACAGGATCTGCCAGAAATGCATGAAAACATGTGTCATTGTGTGGCACCTTAAGAAATCATCATTAAAGAAACGTGACTGTTCCTCTCATAGAAAAATCAATCTGAGCAGCAGCTGCTTGAGGAGCAGAGGAGGAGAGAGGAAGCTGAGAAGGAAGTCCAGACTCTGAAAGAGGAGCAGAGGAGGAGAGAGGAAGCTGAGAAGGAAGTCCAGACTCTGAAAGAGGAGCAGAGGAGGAGAGAGGAAGCTGAGAAGGAAGTCCAGACTCTGAAAGAGGAGGAGAGGAGGAGAGAGGAAGCTGAGAAGGAAGTCCAGACTCTGAAAGAGGAGCAGAGGAGGAGAGAGGAAGCTGAGAAGGAAGTCCAGACTCTGAAAGAGGAGCAGAGGAGGAGAGAGGAAGCTGAGAAGGAAGTCCAGACTCTGAAAGAGGAGCAGAGGAGGAGAGAGGAAGCTGAGAAGGAAGTCCAGACTCTGAAAGAGCAGCTGCAGAACAAGAAGAAAGAGGTTCATCTCCACTTCAATAATGAAACACATTGATTCCTGTTTGAAGTCACTTTCAATGTCGTCCTTAGTGTAGACAAGGTCAAACCTGCAGTGCAGGTCCAAGTGGAGACCACATCCAGACAGTCCTACTTTTAGACTGTGAATAAATGATCTTAATCTTCCTGCTGTTCTTTCAGGTTGAATCTAAAGAGTCTGAGCTGCAGGATCTCCATGCAGAGAAACAGAGGAACCAGAACGAGCTGCAGAGCCTGAAGGGAGATCTGCTGAACAAGAACAGAGAGGTTCACGTCTTCATCTTTGAACTTTATTTTTCATATGAATAGAGAGATAGACATTGGGTTCATTGACCCCTCTCATGTGATCATCTGTAAACCTGCAGACAGTCAGGAGGCTGTTTGAGAAACTCAATCATCACCATGTTTAGGACCCACTTCACTGTAGTTACTTTCTGTGTACTCAGTGTAACTGTGTCTTTACATTTGATCATTATCACTGCTGTAGTGTTTCATGTGGTACTCATCTGTCTCTAAATGTCCTTCCCCAGCTGGAGAAAGCTCAAACAGACCTAGGCTATGCTTCCAAATATAGACCGGTAAGTTGGCCTGAGATTGATATAATTTGCACTATATAAAATATACATTAAAGGTTTTTAATGTACAAAATACATTCTAACCACAACATAAAGTGAATCTTACTTTCTGTAATAAGTCTGTTTAAAAGGCTGATATGTTGATAAAGCCTGGGAGGCTGTGGCGCAGTGGGCTAGTGTGTTGGTGTTCGGATCAGGGGGGCACAGGTTCAAACCCCACTGCAGTCAGCATGTCGTTGTGTCCCTGAGACACTTCACCCCAAATTGCTCCTGTGGGGATTGTCCACAGTCTTGAGTATGTTAGTCGCTTTGGATAAAAGCGTCTAACAAGTGACATTTAATAATAAAAATAATAATAAATGATATTAAGACTGCATTAATTACCAGATAAAGGCCTGCACAGTTTTATGAAAGCAGAAGAATCAGTAGCAAGAATCTCAATATGTCAATTAAATACCCAGGAGTAAAGAAAAATGTCAACCACCTGAAATAAAGTTACACTAGAAAATGTTTCATTGAAAAGCAGAATTTATGTAATTTAGAGATATTATATATAATATGCTTAGTTATTTTGCCGGGTCATTGTACATGTCTTCATATAATCCAGTTTAGCAAAAAAGAAGAACTGCAGAACAAGAAGGATACAGCTGAACAGGAAGTGGAGAACCTTCAGAAGAAGCTGGAGGCCCAACAGGAGAAAACAGACACCAAAACCAAAGAGGTTTCTGTTAGAATAGTTGACTGAAACCTGGGCTGAAGTCCTGAGTGTAAACTGTAACTAATCGACCCGGCCCTTACATGTAGAATGGTATCAACGATAAAACATGTCTCTCAGTTATCTTCTCAGGTTGAAGTGAAGGAAGCTGAAGTCCAGCAGCTCCAGGAGGAAGGTCAGAGGATGGAGACCAGCCTGCAGACCCTGATGGGAGAAGTGGAGGTTTGGAGCATCCTGGTTACCTCTGGGGGAAATCATTAATACATTTGTTGAATTTCTTTAGTGTCCTTACGACTCTATTGTTTATATTTTTAAAAGATATGTGCAATAAATCTGATTTTCTAACCGTAAACCCAGCTTTGGTTTCCTCCATGTTTGCAGTCTTCTCCCCTCTCTTTGTTGGCACATTGCCTCGTCTTTACTGCTCTAATGTGGATCCCTGTGATCTTGTTAATTCAAAGTAACTTGGTTTGAGTTGTTTCTGTTCAAGCTGTAGAACTGTTCTCAACTGTACTTGAAACATCTGAAAGAATCACAAAATCAGACGCCTTGATACTTGATATGTTGAGTCACATTCTCCTATAAACATGTTCCTGACCTCTGCCTCTCTGTATTTCAGTTAAAATGGCCGCTGGTGTCCAGACAGAAGTTTGAGGAGGAGCAGCAGAGGGAGGAAGCTGAGAAGAAAGTTCACATCCTGGAGGAGACGCTGCAGAAGAAGGTTTGTGGTCTCCTCTGAAAGTCCTTCACACACAGCATGAGATCCTGCAGTGACTCATGTTAAGCATCAACTAGACCTTCAACGCCCTTTAGAAGAGATTCCTGCTGCTTCAAATATCCATCAGCTTCATTCACAGATACAGTTTGCAGGAAGACGGATGTGAGGCACACAGTCGGTTTAATGTGTGTGTGTGTGTGTGTGTGTGTGTGTGTGTGTGTGTGTGTGTGTGCTAGCTGCAGGAAAGAGATCAAACTGAGCTGAATTGGACTATCATTGATGAAGAGCTGAAGAAGGCAAAGAGTCACCTGGACAGCAAGGACACAAAAATCAGCCAGCTTCAGAGACATGTAAACACACACACACACACACACACACACACACACACACACACACACACACACACACACACACACACACACACACACACACACACACACACACACACACACTTCCTTCATGTCTGGTTGTGTATCTGAAGGTGTCTTCTCTCTGTAATCCATCTCTCCTCCCAGGTGGATGAACTTTTAGCTGATAACCAGAGTCTGAGAGATGTAAAGCAGATTAGTGAAGACGTGCAAAAGGAGCTGGCGGCAATCAGAAAAGAGGTTCATCTTCCATGGTTTCAATTTCTACCTATGTGTTGGTTTCTAGTTCTTTATATATTAATGATTAATTTCTTCTTTTTTTTGTCTAGATCTGTAACGACATAAACCACACTAATAGTCAGAGTATTTTAAGAAATTAAATGAAAGCCACTGGTTTTTGTTGAGATTTTTCTTATCTCTTTTCTTTATCTGACCTTCAAGTATAAAGCAAGTATTGAAGTGGTAACCTTCCAGTTTGACACTAACTTAACTGAACATTTGATGAAGGTGACAGAATACAGAAATGATTTCTAATCTGTATAATATCACTGAATAGAAACATAATATTTGATATCCTCCAGGGACATTAGTCATGGTTAGGGTCAACTGGAGGTGGAATGTAAGACGTTGTCCAATAACATTCATTGTTTTGATAAATCTATATCCAATTCTTCTCACAAAAAGTTGATACCAACGTGTGTGTGTGTGTGTGTGTGTGTGTGTGTGTGTGTGTGTGTGTGTGTGTGTGTGTGTGTGTGTGTGTGTGTGTGTGTGTGTGTGTGTGTGTGTGTGTGTGTGTGTGTGTGTGTGTGTGTGTGTGTGTGTGTGTGTGTGTGTGTGTTAGCTGCAGGAAAGAGATCAAACTGAGCTGAATTGGACTATCGCTGATGAAGACCTGAAGAAGGCAAAGAGTGACCTCGACAGCAAGGACAGAGAACTCAGCCAGCTTCAGAGACATGTAAACACACACTCTGAGGTTTCTGTCTTTTGATCATTATTTTCTTCTGACTTCAAAGTATAAAGTATATAACAGTATAACTTAAATGAGCTGTTGATTAAGGTGATGGAATAAAGAAATGAGCACAAGCTCTGTAATTAAACTGAATATGAAATATTTCATCTTTGAAGTAGAAGCTGAGAGATTTGTGAATGACGTGACGAAAAACAAGGAGGTTCAACTTTGTATTCAAATCTTTACTTCATCTTCTCCAGAACACATTGATTTGTTTAGAAGGCTAAAGTGATACAACTAACCATGAGAGATAATCTGAGACACCGAATGAGAGAGACGTGAAGGAACAAAAGGTGGTGCCTATTCATTTTATTATTTTTGTTTTGATCTCACATTTTAGTTTAATCTTCTACACTAGTTATGGATAATTGAAACAAAGACAACTCAAACTGAGACACCAAATGAGATGGATCTCAGCGTGTCACAGGGATCAAACAGCTGAGTTCAAAGATGGTGGATGACTGTTCTGTGTGTTCTCTCCCCCTTAGTCACAGGCAGGACATTTTGAAGGGTCTGATCATTCTCGATCAGTGGAACCACCCTGCCCCCCCCCGAACACTCAGACCTCAGACTCAGGATTTAATATTGAGGTCAACCAACATGGCAAATACATCCGTCTCATAAACTCATCCACTGAGGTAATGTTGTGAGCATTAACGCTGTATGAGGCTTTATAAGTGAGAACAATATCACTTGAGCATATTCCAAATGAGCTGTTTCATTTCAAGAATCACTTTTCTCTGTCTCTCATCCTCCCTCTCTCACCTTATTTAACTTCCTGCAGGACAAAGACCTGGGAGAGTGGGAGTTACAGCTGCAGGTTAACAACAACCATCCCATCATGCACAGATTTGATAAATCTTTCAACCTCAGGGCTGGAGGATTTGTCACTGTGAGTCTTTCTTGTTTTCTCACTTTATGTTGTTGCATTTTCCCTGCAATTATTTAATTATTTATCGATTCTGCTTTTAAGTCTGTGATTTTGTATTTTACAGATGTGGGCAGCAGGTTATGGTTGCAATTATTATAACACTGACCTGAAGTGGAAGGATCTGAAGTCCTGGAGCTCTGGAGACAGTCTGAAGTTCTCCCTCTACAGTCACACTGGAGAGATTCAATATGAACACTGTGTGACATTTGCTGAAATATTTTAACTAACCTTTTCCTGCTCTCATTGTGCTTATCTTACCCTGCTTTTATCAACAGTTGCAAATACATTTCTGCTCACTGTCTGCCTAGCAACACATTGCAGGAGTTCATTTTGAACTTGTCCCCGTTTTGTGAAGAAGATGTGTGAAGTGACGGAGCAGATTTATCAGCAACAGGAAAAAGCCGTGAGAGAAAGTTACAACGTTATAAAATATCTGAACATTATTCACAGGAACAGGAAGACTCAGAGATCAACCATTCATTTTATATTAAATCTTTACTTTTACTATTCAGGTTTATTTAACAGTTTAAAATGTTTTGAGGTGAACAGACCTGCCTTTATTTTGCTGCCACTGCTTTTATATTTTTCTAAATCTACTCTTTATCGTGCTAAATATCATTAAGAAATGTCAAATATTCCTCTCTTATTAATACAAAATGTGAGCTAATGCAAATCATCAAATAACAAGTTTTTAGTTTCTCAAAAACCACAAGAAATGTTTGTTTACCTGATTTCAAATGTATATTAGATCTTGGCAGAGCTTTATAATTCTTTCTTTTGTATTGTTGACGGTGTATATTGTCAAAATATAATTCACTATTCAAGTCTATGTAGTTAAGATGTAAAAATGTGTTTTATTTTTGTATTTACATGATGCTGATGTACAATTTTGATATTTGTTTACGGTTTACTTCCAAATATGTTTTTAATGTCCTGTGAGAGATCATGTTTAATTTTAAGGTGATATGTTTTAATTATGATGTTTTGCAAAACCAGATAAGTTAGTTTTGTTGACTGAAAACACGTTGACATGATTTCTGTTCAAATAAACACAGTTTTTTTCTTTAGTCTACAGTCTTGTTTCTCTGAACCGCCCTTTGAGCTATAAGCCAAAGTTAGCATGCTAACAATCTAGCAGGTATTACCACGTTCAAACCTCACAAGTCTTTTATCCCTTATGAAACAAAAATATATTGTAATATATTGGTAAATATAATACAATATACTGGATCATACATTTCCATATATGGGAAAGTAGTCCTTATAGTTTTAAATATATTGTAATATATGCATGGACCATGTATGGCTATATATTGATACATATAAAAAATATATATTGCAATGAAAACAAAAACTGCACTATACATTTATATGCAATAGTTTTATTGAAACACTCATTTATCTTTCATGAGTTACACAAGTTTACATAAAATTGAACAGATATTCATAAACAGTTATCTCACTTCGTTTTGTATAGTTACCCACTTTATATATTATATGTTTGATGGTAGCCTATATATAAAAAAAGTACAAATTGTCCATTGAATGATGGAAAATAATATACAGTTTATAAATATATATAGACACACACATATATGCACGCATATATATATGCATATATGCACGCATATATATATATGCATATATTACGGCCGACCGGCTATTTGGAGTGGAACGCAGCCCATCCACGGCAGACAGCCCAAACAGTATTCGAATGCGCCACTTCCGGCTGATTTCGGGGAGCCCCCCCCCCCCCTCTCCAGCAATAGATTGATCTGATTGGCAGATTCAAATCTGCGTTGCTGCCTCTGTCTGTTGATTCTGTCGCTGAGTGTCAAAGAGAAAGCATTCATCAGGTGCTTCGAAACGGACAATTAAAAAGAAACGAGAGGAAAATACAGCACGAGAGTCAGGTATGTGTGTGAGCATTTAAAACTATTTTAAATTGAAATAATTCTGCATGTACACTACAAGTAGTCTAGTTGCTTAATCCGTATGTCCCGTCCAGGGGCGTCGCCTGGACCTGAAAACATTCGGGGCTTAGCCCACAGTGGCGGCGGCACTACAGTGGCATTTTTTACTGCAACACTCCCCACACGCACACACACAGTACACCCGCGACTGTTACAATGAAGGCTCGATAATCAGCTCACGGCATATAGGCAGGGGTAAAGTGGTATTTTTTATGAGTGGGGGGCTCACCTCCTCTAGGGGGGGTCCGGGGGGATGCTCCCCCGGGAAGATTTTTTTTTAAATATTGAAGTTAAATGCATCAATCTGGTGCACTTTGAGAGCAAAATGAAGAGATCTATGGATACCTCTCTCAACACCCATATGAAGCAGAACTGTAAACAGATGTACTTTTTCTTTATGGATATTTTACTAATCACTCCCCTTTTAAACTCTATTCTTGTTTTACTGCCATATAGTATTTCATAACTGTTTTTCCTTTATTCTCTTTTTTTGAATAACTATAATGATCATATAAAGGTGTGCCGCGGAAATAATCTTTTGAATAATTTGTGACCAAACCGTTTGAGACCCACTGAGATAACTTAGACTAAAGTTAACTATCTAAACACTCAGAGAGTCCTTTAGCTCACCTGAGTCTCTCAGTCTGAGAGGAGAGGACTCTCCTCCAGCTTCTTGTGGAACAAACAGCTCCTTATGTCCATTAGTGCAGCTAGCTAACCAGATGCTAACAACACGGTCCATGCTGACACTGGTCTCTCCCTCTCTCCCTCTCTCCCCCTCTCTCTCTCTCTATCACACTAAATGCGCTATTGCCACACACACACAGAGCCGAGCTTGAATGACACAAGCACACGTTTATTTCCATGCAACTCTCTGATTGGTCTGGTGTCATGCCTCTGTTGCATTCACTGAACACGGGAAATTACAGTGCTGCCGTCCTCTCTTGTGTCATGATGAGGTTCACGTAAAGCACGGTTAATGTATTATATTATTGAGGGAGAATTGTCCGGGGCTACAGAAAAAACATTCGGGGCTAAAGCCCCGGATGCCCAGGCCAGTAGAGATGGCAAATCCGGATCCTTTTACGGACTCAGGGTCTTCTGAGTCAGTCATTGAAGAGATCCGGATCATACGAGTCATTTGAGTCATATGAGTCAGCATCACCAAGACCGTAGAAATCCTATCGGTGAAACCGAAAAGTTGATGCATTTCACGAGCATATTATTATTCCATATATTTTGAATATATATATATATTTGTATATATATATATATATATAATATCTGCATGTATATTTTCTATTTCGACATGTATATTTTATTTTATTTTTCTTTCTATTCTTGTATATTTTGTAGTTTTGTTTTAAAATGCCTTTTATGCTGCTGTAACAACAATTTCCCAATTTGGGATCAATAAAGTACTATCTATCTATCTATCTATCTATCTATTAAACTGACGTTATATTAACCTCCGCTACACAGTGTATTTTGCTTTAAAGGGCCCATGTCATGGCCATTTCCACTGATCATAATTACATTGTTGAGGTATACTAAAATAGATTTATACTGTGCAATTTTCCAAACTCACATTGGTTTCGCATACAGCATCTCTGTCAAGCATGTGTATTCAGCAGTATTCACTTTCTCCACTAAACGACTCGTTGGAGCTCTTGCCCCCCCCTCCCTGTGAGCCTAGTGTGCTCCGATTGGTCAGCTCGGCCACTCGTTCTGATTAGTCAACCACCAGAGAGGCTGCGCCCATGTCAGTGCTTTTCCCGGCTGCTCTCAGCGTAACATCAGTCTTATCATGGCGTCGGTACAGCGGTATATTTTATATACATATATATTTTTAAACTGTTGTTATAGAAGAGTGTGACGGCCTCAGGGCCTTTGTCTTACGGTGGGGTGGAGCTGAAGAGGGTAATCAGCGCGATCACGGACACCTCCGTAGCCGGTGCTATTAATCCCAGCGGCCCGGAGTCTCTCTCCAAAGCGGCTGCAGAAGGACGAACTGAGCGACCCTCTCCCCTCGACCACCTGTCTCTGCATTTACTACAATAAATGTGCCGTGGTTTTGTAAACTCGTGTATGTCTCCTTGTCTTTCCGTTGTGGCCTACGAGCTACTCTCATAACAAAGAGTAAGTTATTTTTACCCGTTATAAACTACTACTGTTTGATGAGAAATCAAATCATGGTTTGCTATATATGAATTCAGGGAAGAAAGGATAGGCCTACTAAGTATTTCCATTAAACTTTATTTTTAGAAATGTACAAAATGAACATAAATATACATATATACACGGTATATCATCCATTCCTCCTCCTCTTGCCTGCGCACAGCCGGTGCGGTGCGGTGCCTTTTAGCACGAGGCCTCAGTAGTAGTAGAATCCCTTCCCCGTCATGGATTGTCCGCCAGGATCTGGCTGGACGAAATCAAATGCAAATCACAAAATATTAGAGAAACTTAGTTGTTTTAGATTCGTTAGTAGTAGTTGTGTAATGAACAGCTTGCCTGCTAATATGCTAACCTAGCTTTGTTTACCTTGGTAGCTAACACGATATGAACGTTAGCTTGGAGGAAAGGCAACTATAATGCAGTGTAATAAAACTACTATGAACAAAAGCTAGTGGTTCATATTAGGCTAGCAATAACGTGTTTATAATTGCAATCGTATACGGGTATTCTGCTACGTTCGGTCATACAATGTAACTTGCATGAATACATTGTTTTGCGCTAGCATACAGCTAGCCTCGTTAGCTACATGCAGTATATGTACGGTCACAATGTACGGTAAATCACAGTACAGTATACTGTATGAGTATTCCGTGTGTGTGACTGCAGACATTCTCCTGCCATGACAAACATGTAAGGCCATCTGCTGACATTGTAGTTGATATATTTAAACGCTAGCAACGTAGCATCACAAAAATGTTTTTCTGACCGAAACTAGCTCTAGCTCCGTGTGTTAGATCGCTACGCCAGCTATAATGTAATTACGTTTCGCGACTGACCGGCAAATCACCCGGAGTATACTGTCAATAGGTATTTTGTGTGTGAATGCAGACATTCTCCTGCTATGAGATACATGTATGCAAGGCCCATCTGCTGATATTAGAGTTGATATATGGAAACTCTAGCAACTTAGTTAGCACTGTGTCAATGGCTTAGCAGTCCAACACAGTTTACACATTTAAACAGTCTTGTTTGATAAATACACAAATAACAATGCAAACTTACAGGTTGTATACCCAGATCTTCCCCTGCTCCAAACGGTCCAAACAAGCTGTGCATATCCGGCCTCAAACTGGGCAATGTTTTGGAAGCTTTCGTCTGTGAAATGCCGGTTCTTCGAACCTCTGGAGGAGGAACACGCCGCTGCTGGTGTGGCCATAGCTCTTCGGGATTGGTCCATTTCGTTCCGGGTACCGCATGACATCAGGCGGTACCCGGAACTAAATGGAAGACTCAAATGGGCAGTGACGTATCTCCAACGAGGCGTTTTGGGGAGGTATTTTCTGTGTTAGAGTTTTACTCGCTACAGGGTGTACTTTGAGGGTTTTGACTCTGCACACCGTTTACATGCATAATGTTAGAGTAGAATACCTCTGCTACGCGCCGTTCGTTGGATGAGGCTGGATCTCTATTAAATTAAGAAAGGAATTGAAAACACCGGAATCAAAGTTATAACAAATTATCTGAGTTTACTTCTAGTAGGAAACCAAACACATATACAAGTTATACAGAGTACCCCGGGTACTCCGGGCTTTTAGATTTGTGATGCGATTCGGATAAATGCATCGGGATCAAACCAACTCATCAAACCAAAAAGAAATTGGACTTCAGGTCTGTGATGCGATTCGGACACAGATATCGGGATCAAACCAACTCACCAAACCCAAAAGCAATTTTACACACACAAACGTCAGTATTTCTATCTGTCTTTGGGGCGGAGATTTGTCGATTCTTCCTTCCCACTTTTCTCCCAAGCGAATCAGAGAAGCCCTGGGGAGGAGCTGTTTAAACTGACCACCTCCTCCAAGTGTCCTGATTGGCTGGATTCGCTTCTGGCCGAGGTCAATCAGAGTTTCGAACAGAG